AACGAGCATAAAGAGCGGGCTGTTCGAAATGAGACCTTGGCGCCGTTCTAAGATCTTTTACCACATTTTTCGATTTCTAAACTAGCGAAGACATCTAAAAACATGTTTTCGTGTATCGGTCTCAAGCCTTCCTCTCCTATTCTGTCACTGTTCTCTAAAGCATGTTGAAACCGAATATGTGAAACATGTTCCTTGTAACGAGGTGGTATAGTCCGCTCAGTTGGACCAACATACTTTTTATCATAATCCTCGCAGCGACTATTACAAAATAATGGATATTAGCAGAGAATGAAAAGATAAAAGCAATTTAACTTTAAAAAAAGTAGTGAAATTTAATCGTCCGAGTCGTATCTTTCAAATTCTTCTTCCTGTTCTTCTTCTTGGTCTTCTTCTTCTTGTTCGTCTTGTTCTTCTTTTTCTTGTTCTTGTTCTTCTTGTCCTTCTCCATTTTCATCCTGAGTACATGTAAATTACGATGTATCGCATGTCCCTTGTTGGAATCATACAGATCCTCCGCTGTTGGTGATTCAATATTAGAGCACGACCGGCCTTGACAATGTGTATATGTCAGAGAACAAAACAGTCCGGCTTTTTTGCAACCACATTTAGCACTGCACCCCTTTTTGCAGTTGCAAAAAATTGTGTTCAGCAGTTTTTCCGACACAGGTGGAAGTAAAGTTTGGACTGGTTGTTGACCAATTGTTGACCAACTTCCAACCCCAGTCTGTAGGGTCTAGATCAGGAGTCTCCAAACTACGACCCGCGGGCCAAATCCGGCCCGCCAGTGTCATCAATCCGGCCCGCGACAGCCAATGATTTACTGTCATCAATCTGGCCCGCGACAGCCAATGATTACCNGTATTTTTATGATAAAACTCACCGTTTTGATGAAATTCGCGAAAAGCTCATTTTTTTTCACCTTATCCCTAGAATAAAATTTTTTCCATGCAGGAGAAAGATGAAGAACTTTCATATTTCATTTTTAATCATATTTTGAACTATCTTACAGATTTTCATCTTGATGGGACTTTAGGTAGGTATAAACTCATTGCGGTAAAACTTCAATCTCTGGTATGTCAACAGAAGACATGTTAGTTGAGTTTTTAATTTAAACTGGTGAATATTCGTAATTACTCAACTATAGGTATTCTCTGAGTGCAATTTTTCAAAAAGTAAAAATTGTGTATAGGTACAATAGCGTGATGTTCTCATAAAATCAGTTAATAATACGTTTAAAAAAAAATAACTATAACAACATAAAATATTTTTGTATTTATAAATAGTATGTGAAATCTAGGCACCAAAATTAACGTACATTTTGTCAATTTTTCAACAACCAATTTGTTCGAATAAAGACAGCATTGTAAATCGTTCGTCAATTGTTCTAACACCATAAATTCAAAGTTCATTAAACGCTCGTAAAAATAATATCTGCTCATGATGAAGGCATAAAAATAAGATATGCAATTCTATTGTTTATTATTATAACACGCTGCGTTATCTTTGTTCCTACAGTGGAACAATTCTTATCTAACAGGCTTCAAGTTACCCATTGTTAATTGTTTTTTATTAGGATATAGTAGTCATTATTTTCGTAGTGACGTCATTACGCAACCTGCATAAAGTAATTTGATTTGATTGAGGAATGCAGTTCGTTATGTACGAGGGTCGTTTGAAAATATACTTACTTTTTTTGGTTATACAGTTTGTAAAAGCCAGATGGAATAAATTCATTACTGTACATATTTAAAAAAAAACCGAAACACGTCAAATGGTTTCCTACAATCCCTGCCCAAACATTAACCTTTCGAGGGTATTGCGTGTGTTCTTTCTCATCCAGTGAGGGTTTTCCGTTGACCAGTAGTGACAATTTTGCCGATTAGCATATCCGTTAAGAGACAAAGTGCACTCATCAGAAAACATAACGTCTTCTAATCGGATGTTATTTTTATCCAAAATGTCCATCATTTGCACACAAAAATAAGTTCTTCTATCAAAATCGTCTTCCATGAGCTCCGGAGTAGGTATCATTTTATAGGGATGCATTTTATTTTCTTTTAATATGTTTACTATCGATATATGGCTAACATTGAATGTAGTAGATGCCTGTCTACTCAATGTATGTGGATTTTTCTCAAACTCAAGCATCACATCTAATTTGAGTTCATCACTCATTGCATTGGCAGCTGCTTTTTTATCTGCCCCACATGGCCAATCTCGCGAAACTGCTTCTCTATTTTGCTTACTGTTCCTTGAGATATGGGCGGTAAATCAGTAAATTCCTCATGAAATAGGCGAGCTACTTCCTGTTGTGTTCGGGGCTCTTTATGATTGAAGAAAGAAAGAGGTTATTAACCGCAATAATGTTTAGTTACTTTAACTTAACAACACACAGGTCATAATTATCTCAATTGTTGAAAATTTTGTTGAAACTACTTTTTCCTGGTAACTTTGACTGTTACTTTTTTTCGAAATGAAATTATTTTGAAACTATCTTACTGTTAGGCAGCAGATGTCACTAAACTAGGTGTGCCATCATCTTTGGTTCCGTTTTATTGACATTCTTATGTGTTCCCCTTGTAAAGAAGAATCTTATTCAATTTTTAAATAGAAAAATGATTATCTTTTGTCTTTCAAATTACTTTTATTGCGAAAGCTCCTCTCTTTTTACATCCATCTTTTGTTGAAGAGGTCGCAACAAGCAACTTATTTTAAGTTACATCCAAACTAAGATAAAAAGCTAATGTACTGTGAATAATTGCCTCTCAATTATTCATCGTGATAATACTACACCCTGGATTCTAGTGCTATGAAGAAGTGGATATAAGACTATGTAAACCTCAGCTTCCTTGCAGAATTATTAATTGTTTATGATCGGTGTTCACTGGAGAATAGATTATGTTCCTGGAGACTAGGTGTCATTGAAATCTTTTTGCAGTACTATTTTGTGGGTATTATAAAGGCGACTAAAAAATTTTCTCTTGTTTTAGGCAACCTGTTTTTTAATGCAAAGTATATTGTTACGTTTTTCCCCGTGGGTTGACCAATAATTGATTACACTTAATAATCAAACTCAACTTTATTTCATTTCAAAAACAACAAACACTTCAACTTAAACTTCAACTATTATTTGAATGTCTATCGCCTTACTAGATCACTTCGCGTACTGCACTGTAACGTCCACTTGGATGTGTAATTGTCTGTCTCGATACGCTCGCAGCCAGCGTTTAAATATCGCAATCGAACATCGTGGAATTTTCGCCGAAGTTCCATCGACATCGGTAGCATGACACTCGCTGCTTCTCGAGCGGCAGGGAACAATGGGTATTCCTGCGCTCTTAGCTACGTCTCGTTTGGTTTATGGTTACCAGTGGCGGTCGGCGACTTTCTTTCGGGCATGATCTACAACAATATCATCATATTTTCATGAACATAAGTCATTTTATATATATTTTTTTGTATTCAAGAAACACTCTTTTTGCGAGATTTTCATCAAACAGTTTTGCTGAAACGCAACACGTGTTTCGCTCTACAATAGCTTCTTCAGGCGTGTCTATACGTGTCTATGTTTGAAAATATTGTTACGTCTATGATTGGCTTCTAATTAAATAAATAATTGTAGCACTATAGAACAAAATCATCATCTCTTTATGGTACTGACTTGGTTGAGGGAACGCACGTCGAAAGAGTGTTTTTGTTCTGGTGTGGTAAAATGTATACTTCCAGTGGCGTACGCAACGACCTTGTCATGACAATATCTTTCATCAATTGAAAAAAATTAACTAAAAATATATGATCTTCACAAACAAAAGCTTCACTTCTAGAACAAAAATTGTAATTTTCAACGATTCTAATAAATTACTTTTCAGGTGCACCTGCCAAATGGGGGTTTCAACGTTGTCAGATTCGGGGACACCGTAGAAATAAAGGCCATCATTCAGACTGTAACGGAACGATTATCTACAGGAGAGAGATACTACAATATACTTTATGCTATGAGATTGTCAAGGCCGCCCTCGACTGAGGTAACCATTGCAAGAAATCCTCCCCCCACCCACCACGTCTTCAAATCTCTTCTTTCTATTTTGCAGATGCATTGGCTTCATCAAGATACCACGATGAAACAAGTGAACGAAAAGTATCTAAAGAAACATCCGAACTCTGAATGGCGATACGATCTTAGGATAAGATATTTACCTACTAGTCTGAAAGAGCTTTACGATAAGGATAGGGTCACTTTCCACTATTATTATGATCAGGTGAGAAATTTGCACTTTTAGTTTTTTATGGAATTTTTTTCAAATAGCAAGTGAAGGTTCGGTCATGCCTTGAGATGAGAAAAATATCTTGTGAATATCATGGAGTCCTCCAAAGCTCCATATTGGGTCCATGGATTTACTAATGGTACCTAAGCTTGATTATTTAATTTTTGATAAACCATACATAGCCACATTCCCTTGCAAAGGAGGGTGCTGCAAGCAGTTTCATCGGACCAGAACCTGTCAGAACTGAAAACAGCAGAGCACATACTTTGTGCCTGCCCCGCTGGGGACCGAATCAGGTTTTTAGAGTTCGACAGAACCGTACTCTGACCATCTGACCTGAAAGACCACTCACCGTACAAACTTATCGGCTTCGTTAAGAAGCTGGGTTTACTTGGTCAAGTGTGAATATGTGTGGGCCACAATAAACCCTTGCGAGTTGCGGTGGAGGGACGAATATACCCACTCACTTTGGACCTAACATAACCTAACCATTAAAATTATTCTTTGGCAAATGAGTTCATATCTTTGAGAGGTAAGAATTCATTGTCACTATTACTAGATTACTAGATCTAAAATTGTCTTTTCATGAGAAGTTATGGGTGTAGAGGGAATATCAAGTTCTCACGCTTATGAAATATAATCTCCAGCAGAATGAAATGTGCAGATATTTGAGAAATTTACCCACATACATGTTGAACAAAATTTTTAAAGACTATAAGTTGGAATTGATGAATGAGATTTCACCTAATTAGAATATTAATTTATTTAAAAACAATAAATTGCAGTTTCGTCCTATAAGGACGACTGCAGTAACGTTAGTTACAAATAAAAGTGGTAAAAAACAGATACTTTGTAAAAAAAAATTCATTGAATGGTTAGGTCAGAAATAAGAAAAGTTGGGTAAAAACCTTGTTTTTATATTGAAGGAAAGAGAATTGAAACTTCTCTGTTTTACCCTCACTTTTATTTGTAACTAATGTTACTGCAGTTTCGTCCTTTAAGGACGACTGCAGTTTCGTCCTGTAAAAACAACTGCAGTTTCGTTCTATAAGGACGACTGGACGACTGCAGTTTCTTCCTATAAGGACGAATGCAGTAACGTTAGTTACAAATGAAAGTGGTCAAAAACATAGAAAGTTTCAATTCTCTTTTCTTCAATATAAAAACAAGGTTTTTACCCAACGTTTCTTATTTCAGATCTTAAAAGACGAAACTGCAGTAACATTAGTTACAAATGAAAGTGGTCAAAAACATAGAAAGTTTCAATTCTCTTTTCTTCAATATAAAAACAAGGTTTTTACCCAACGTTTCTTATTTCTGACCTAACCATTCAATGATAACTTCTTTTTCAAATCATCAATGTTTTTTCTTGTTCATTTTAAGTAAATATAGATTGTATCATGATTTGAAATTAATTTCTCTGATAAATACGAGACCTAGATACATGCATACACGCTTCCATATCTTGACACATTGTTCATTGAATACAAAAATGATTTTATGAAAATTCAAATGAATGAGATATTTAGGTGTAACAATTAGCAAATACCTCAGATGAGATGAATATATCTAAAACACTATATGTGAAAATATCATAATTTAACAGTAGGTGATATTAGAACAATTAATTCAGTCATGTATTGTCAAATACTATGTTAATAGCCACTAAGACAGTCATTTATGTCATAGCCCAGACTCCCAGATCTTGCATAAATGTATGTCGGGTATAATGCTTGGTATTAGCCGGGAAGTAGTTGTTTTCCGGCAAGCATTCACCGTGTTCACAGCAGCAGTTCATTAAATGAGTATGATCAACACTGACCAACTTCGAAACCTCTGAGAACTCTAATATCCATTTTATGATTAAAAGTGGGGTATTTTATTTTGTTTTTTTTTTTCTAATAATATGTAGATGTGAAAATATTCTGTTGATATTCTTCACCAATAGTTGTAATGTAATGAGCAGTTGGGTCGGTTTACTGTACTGTTCTCCTTTTTAGGTTAGAAATGATTACCATAGTGAGTTATACAAGAAAATCGACCAGGACGTAGCCATCCAACTTTGCTGTCTGGAAATACGGAAGTATCTCAAAGACATGCCCCAAAACGTCCTCGACAAGAAATCGAATTTCGAGTATCTGGAACGAGAGATAGGTATGCACAAATTCATTCCGAACAGCTTCATAGACAAAACGAAGTCGAAGTCTTTGAGGAAAAGCATACTGGCTCAGTTCAAAAAATTCGCTCACTTCTCGGATGTCGAAAGCATGTTCAAGTACTTGGAAATTCTGAATTACCACACCAGCTTTGACCAGGAAAGGTTCAGCGTCGATTTCGGTAGCAGTTTCACCATACCCGTGGAACTAGTCATCGGACCTGACATAGGTAAATAATATAAATAATAACAGAAAATATAAATAGCTTTCAATTTCAACCACAAAATCTCTGAAGAAAATAACATGAATAACCTTCAATTAACAACAAACTTTCACATCTATCCAATCATTTTCTGCGTGCTATTACAAGTAATAATCAGAAGAAGGATAAAAAAATAATATTTGACGTCGAAAACAACACCTTGAAGGATGTTAAGATTGAGAAAATTTAACGAGAGAGAATTGATGCAACAATTGTTAATTGTTATTCTTTTCGTAAACATACGTTTTCAAACCGAAGCTACAAATGTTTGTTTACAAAATAGTTATGTTATCATTAACAAGCCGTATATGTTATCAATTTCAAAACGAGATGGTTTACACTTAAGATTAGAAATGTTTAAAAATCCAACTCGTGATGTCCTTGAATATTTTCGTTGAAATATTGCAATGAAATGCTCAACTGCTGCCCAGATGTTTTATGGTCTGTTCCTTTTTTTAAGAAATCTGCACTTTTTGTCTAATTCTCAGGATTTGTTGCCTGGTCCCATGAGATAATATTTATTTTGGTATGACGCTTCTTGTACGGTGTATGAACTGAATGATGTAACCTCAAAAGCTGATTGAAAGCTCAATTCAGAATATAATCAAGCTTATATTGAAAATGCCGATTCGTTGTTTTTCCGATAAGTTATACCAAACTTTCTACTCGGTAATGAATAAATTTCAATTCTATGTGGTGGTTCTCTATTCACTATCATGTTGGTCATTCTCTTATTTTTCCTATCTGTATGCATATCGTGGGGTGAATACTTCAACTAGGTATATAACTTCAAATCAGCTGTTTCGGAGAAAACTCAAAATAATGTGTTTTCACGATTTCGGTAAAATTTAAAGGCGGCTTGATTAAATGTCATTTTACTGCCATTTACCCAGTTTTAGCACTAAAAATATGTTTCATGTTGATTCAGATACCAAATTTTCAAATATGATTATTTTATAAAAGAATGATATTTTGGTTTGTTTTATATTCAATTTAGGAAATCTGGCTTGTAGATAAATTGTTTATTTGCGATCTATTATTGTATTGACAATAATACACTTTGAAAATTGTCTCATTTTACAAAAAAAAAAACAAACAAATTTGATAAAAACAAAAAACAAATCAATATGTTAAATAACTAGACATGTGAACTTGCCTAGTTTTCTCTCTGACGATTCCCGTATCTAGTTTTGAAAATTCTAAGTGGTGTGCAGTAGTGGTGCAGCGAACCTGATGAAATTTTTCTTTGCAG